ATAGTTTTCAGGTTTGTAACATGTTGCTTAATTTTGTCTACTAGTTAACATTTACTGGTAACTGGCTTCCTTAATCTCATCGTGTTGATTTATTTCTTGTTTCTAAAATCAATGTAAGCATGGAATTATAATGGTATAATGGAAAGAGTATTACAAGTAATGAGAATCTAGAACTTGTAGAATATTATCTACTTAGGAGACTTGATCATCTCACTTAATTTCTTGGAACCTAAGTTTTCCTGTCTGTAGAAGGAAAAAAAAAGCATATTAACTAGTTCTACATAACAGCTTTTTAAAAATAAAGATAATTATAAGATATGTAAAAGTGCTTCTTTTGAATTGATTAATTTCATTCACAAAATCTTCCATTAATTTTACAGCCACTCACAATGTTAAAATTATTTCTCATGTCAGGTTCCTTCTCTTAGTCTTTTCAGTATTGAAGTTCTCTAATTCCCTAGAGTGAAGAACCTCACACTTATTGAACACTTTCTCTAACCAAATGCCATGCTTTATACACCATATGCTTTTAATGCATGTATAATAGCATTACAGGGGTATTATCCCCATTTCACAGATTATAAAATAAGGTTGAGAGGTTTTGTAACTTGCCCACAGAAACATACTTACTAGTTAAGTGACAAAATTTGGACTTAAACTCAGATTTGTCTAGTTCCAAAGTCCTTCTCTTTGAAGTTCTCTATCAATTCAAACAAATCTCATCAGTCTCTCATCAGTATTTCTCTTACTATTTTCTCATGTCATTTTTAATGTAGAGGAGCAGCCCATCTTCGTTAAAGTAATTTTCATCCTTTGAAATAATTAGCTCATATTTATGTCAGACTTCTCTGGAATCATTGTAGTAATATGGTTTCCCCTTCACTCTGACACCTCTTTCCACTATTTGTATCTTTCCTGAGCTTCTAATGCAGTGTTAGACATTTTTCTCTCTTTCATCTGTTTTGTATTTAATACAAAGCAGCTCATATTGAATACAAATAATATCTTACAGTAGAGATGATAAAAATATGTCATTGAAAACTATGTCAAAATGAGTTTTAATTAATAGTATCTAATTGAAAAATAAAAATATGATTTCTTAGTTTTTAATGTTTTTACAGTATATTTTTATAATTCACCTGTAAATGTTTGCTCTTTTAAAATTTTGTTCAGGAACTGTCATAAAAAAAACAATATATTTCTGCTAGGCAAACTGTATTAGACAATAATCTCAATTGGAATCATAATTATAGTGTTTTGTATTGCAACCATCTCTTTAAGATCTGATTTTAGACAGTCTACAGGAAGATCTAACAAGGCTGTAAGACAAGAAAGTGGCAGCTTCAAACTCAGCAAGTGCAAGGTAATATATTTAGAGAAAAATTATCCAAAATTTAGTAATAGAATTGTTTTATAGCACAGTTATTCAGTCTGGAACTTAGTTATGTTGAAGATTTGAAAAACTCGAAAGGTGCTCTTTGAAGAAAAACTTGTGTTGATCTATAGATATTCTTTCAGGTAACTTCTTTGTGGAGGTGTAATGGTCTTCATCAAAGAAAAATTTAACTTTTGAATTAGGTATCTCTTTTACTTAACTTACGTGCTTGCTGCCTAAACTCTTGGTCTTCAAATGAATACATAAACTCCTGGGGGTAGGTGGAGCTTTCCAAGAGGTAACTTCTGGGTATTTACCCAAAGAAAACTAAAACACTAATTTGAAATGTTATATGCGCCCCTAGGTTCATTGCAGCATTATTTACAATAGCCAAGACGAAGGCAACCTAAGTGCCCATCAATAGATGATTGGATAAAGAAGTTATGGTACATATGTATAATAGCATGTTAGCCATAAAAAAATTTTTTTTTTACCATTTGCAACAATATGGATGGACCTAGAAGGTATTACGCTAAGTGAATAAGTCCGACAGAGAAAGGGAAATAACATATGATTTCACTTACATGTGAAATCTAAAGAACAAAATAAATGAACACACAAAATGAAAACAGACTCAAAGATACAGAGAAAAAGCTGATGATTGCCAGATGGGAGGGGATTGGAGGGCTAGATGATAAAGGGGAAAGGATTGAGAAGTACATATTGGTAGTTACGAAATAGTCACGGGAATGTGAAGTACAGCAAAGAGAATATAGTCAATAATATTCCAATAAGTATGTATAGTGCCAGGTGGGTACTAGAATATAGGGGGGGATCACTTTGTATATTATATAAATGTCTAACCATTATGCTGTATACTTGAAGTTAATATAAAATAATATTGAATGTCAACTCTAATTGAAAAATAAAAGTTAAAAAAGGTAAACAAGTATAGATATTGAATTAGTTTCCTAGGGCTGTTATAACAGTGTTACAAACTGGATGACATTTACTGTCTCTGTTCTGGAGGCTAGAAATCTGAAATCAAGGTGTTAGCAGGGCCGTGTTCCCTCTCAAACTCTGGGTAGAATTTTTTTTTCCTCTTCTGAGTTGTTGGTGATGGCCAGCAATCCTTGGCATTCTCTAGCTTGCAACCACTTCAGTTCGATCTCTGCATTCCGTTTTTACATGGCATGCTCCCTTTATGTCTTCACATCATCTTTTCTTTATGTGTGTGCATACACAATTTCCCCTTTTTATGAGGACACCAGTCATTAGATTAGGTCCCACACTAATGATCTCTTCTTAACTTGGTTAAATCTGCAAAGACCCTATTTTCAAGTAAAGTCACATTCTGAGTTGCTGAGGATTAGGACTTCAACATATCTTTTTTGAGGGACACAATTCAGCCCATAATAGCTATTTTTAATGGAATTGATTTTCAGATCCTCAGCTTGTATATGTGTACTTTTTCCTAAAATTGATGTAAAATTTCTGAATTTTAAAGAAGAGTTCTTTCATATTCTCCCTTGAATCATGATGGTTACCAAATTGCTGTGGTGTTTAGATTCCACTTTAAAGAGTGAAATAACATTTACATTTTAATGGTGATATTTACAATATGCTGAAAATTATATTTTTTCCCAATCATGTAAATCTGTGATGAAAAATTTTAGGTGTCAGCTTAAAAGAAATAGGGAGTGTGTGAGCAAAATTTTTTGAAGACCACTGATAGAGAGCAGGGTTCCTCAACCTTGGTACTATTAATGTTTTGGATTAGATAATTTGTTGTCATGAGGAGGCTGTCCTGTGCATTACAGGATGTTTAGGAGCATCCTTGGCCTCTACCCACTAGATACCAGTAGCAGCTTTCCAGTTGCGACAACCACAAATGTCTCCAGACATTGCCAAATGTCCCAAGAGCAAAAGTGCCCCCAGTCATTGCAGTAGAGCATACTGATTTCCTTTCAGTTGGTAACATAGAATATATAGTAGCATTTCAGATATTTGCTGATCTCAGTTTTGAGTTGTCTACTATATAGCTTTAGTCAAAACTATGACCTAAGATGGCAAATTTTCAAGAGATAAAATCTAAGGGACATGATAATTCATTTAAAAAGTCAATAAATTTTATCCCTGTATCAAAGGTGGCCAAACAGCTACTTATAAATCAAGTTAACTTTTGCCTTATCTCATAGGTGTTGACATTATAAGCCCTTGCTTATATCTGGAGTCAGTGTAAGAAATGGCTGTATGGACAATCTCTATTGTTTTGTAAAAATTCTTATTGAGGACCTTCTCTGTTACCTTCTGTTTTCCTTCTGTTATGAACCAAACCAAGTTCCTGCAGTAGTTTCTAAGTGAATTAGTATACTTTCATTTAGTTATATTACAATAGCTTTGTAAAAGCTTTTTGCCTTAACTACCAGGACACTCAGAGATAAATTTGTGCTTTAATTAGTGTTTTCCCTTAGTTGTTTCTTAGTATAATTATTTATTCACTTTCCTTCTTCCCTTCATTTTATTAGTCCTTTTTCTTATTTAAATTGTTTTTATTTGTATTTATCTTTGCTTTTTAGTGTATGTACTTCCTTGTTTAGGAAAGTTGAATACAATTAATAAAGTGTATAAAGTAACTGGAAATTTAAATACAAATTATTGATGCTAAACATGGAGATAAGCATTTACTAAAACTAGCCTGAAAACATTATTGCCTTTTAGTCAGAAATGGTGAAAGAGGAATAGGCACAAAACATTTATCGAATCCCTACTATAAGCTGTGCCTGGTGTTAGGTATTTTATATCATATTTAATCCTCACAGTAATCCTATGATATAGGCAATCTTGGTGCTTTTTATCTACAAGGAATCCAAGGTTCTGAAAGATAAGTCATTTTCATTCCAAAGTTCTTGCTCTTTACACGATTATGCTATAAAGGCTTCAGAAGAGTGCCTGCCTAGCACATAGTAAGCTGTTAACTTCCTCTTATTATGTCATCTGGGCTATGAGTAAGAAAAATTCCTAAATACTGAAATAATATACTACATCAAATCCTAGAGGGACTAAAGAAACAAATACATTTAGATTAATAAAAAATCTATTTAGAATGGATAAAAAGAATCTTAGTTTATGGCAGCATCCTCTGCAAGAGTTCATATAAACTGAAAATATAAAGTCAGATTATGTTAAATTTAATTAATTACACAATTACACAACAAGTTACCAACAAAAATTCTAGAAGTATTCTTTATCCTAGAGATGAAGTAAAAGGCAGTAATATCGTGCATTTCTTCCCTTGACACCTTTGTCAGAGGCAGGAGATTGAACTAGATGGTTCATACATTTAAGCTACTGTGACAATTCTTACATTTTTATGTTGAGACCACAATATCATATTATCTGTATCTTGTACATGAACATATAGGTGTGCGTACATATACATTCACGCACGCGTCTGTGTGTGTGTAGCTTTTCCTATCTAAAGTCTCATATCAGATGTTATTGGGAGGTGGTTTGTTATATGTTATATTTTCTTGTGCACTTTTCTAGTCTTAAAAAAAAAACATAATTATATACCTTTCCTACAGAAAAATAATAATTATTTCTTGCCTTTTTCTGCCTTTAGTTCCATGTTTTCCAGCACCCAACATAACTTGTAAGGATTTCAGTGGCAATGAAACACATTTTACTGGAAATGAAGTTGGTTTTCTCAAGTCCATATCTTGCCGAAATGTGTAAGTATATTACTGAAGCTAAATTTTCAGATTACTTGCCTATGCTATATTTTGATTGCACGAAGTGAAGAGATAAAGAGTTAATTTATAGGGAAAATCAGCACTAATATAACTTTTATCTGTGTCAGGAAACCTCTTTTAAGTGTGCATATTGTTTTATAAATGCAACTTACCAACCACATAAAGCCCAGTAATTCACTATATGAGATAAAAAAGATTATGAATGGCCTCATGCCATGTCAATCCAGTCTGTTTATCCTACCAAATGAATTATGAAAACATTCTATTTTCAAATTTCGGGGATTGTGTACCTATAATATTAAAAGAATACTATTAAATAGTTCGCATATTAAGGGCATTTTGAAACTTAGTTTCATTCTTTGTAATAGATGTGGATGATGAATGATAATATAAAACAATTCAAAAGTTAGTTTGAGATATTAAGACAAATGTCTTTATTTTGTTAGGAATGTTCTTTTTCTTAAAGAGCTTTTAAGTTTGCTTTTAATTTTGCTATAGTAAAGGTAACATGTTATTCTTATATTTCTGCTTTGTGCTAAAAACATGATTTAGTTTAACCCACTTTGATTAATTGCTGGCACTATATTTTTACCTTTTAACTGTACGTGATTACATTTTGTTCGATGGCACCTATTTGAAGTTATATCAAGAAATAACTACTGTTTGGCTGTTTTTACAAGTTCTATTAGAATCCTTAGAAATTACTAGCAGAGTCTTTTTTCTTTTGACCCTACCTACTTCACTGTATTAATGAGGAGGGGCTTTAAAGTCTATCTTGCTGTGTAATCCTAAGCCAATCACTTAAGCTTCTTGGGTTCTAAGATTTCTCATTAGTAAAATAAAAATTGTTAAAAGGAATTATCTCTAAAGTTCTTTGGTATGGTTTAGTCAGGTTTTAAATTTATACGTTGATATTTCTACCTTAAACATTCCATATGACAAATAATTTATTAAGTGCTAGTCCAACATATCATAAGATATAATACAATAACAAAGAAAATCATCTTTGAGAACAGCTGACTGCACAAATTAGACCTTACAGGTTCATATTACCAGTAGTGGTAACACCACAGTAATCTGTTACTTAATTTTCAAGTTAACTCTGATTTTTCTTTTCAGTGTCTCTGGGTAGATTAGGCTCAATGCCACTAAGTTGCACTAATCATGCTCGGAAGACACTGATGTCAGTTATGATAAGAATTACAACTGTCAAGGAAACCAGATACTCCAAGTATCCTGGCCAACTTATTCCCCTTCTGTAGTTAAAATCTACAATTCCAAAATAGAATTTGCCTGATGAACTTTGAATCAGAACAAGGGTAGTTAGATCGATGGATAATTCTAGTAAGTCACAAAATTAAGATAACCTGATATCATTTTTTGAAAATCAGGATATTAAAGAGCCAGCTGCTAGTCAGCTATGGAATAAAGACTCGCCGACAAATTCTTATTCCTCGAGTCTCCCTTTTCCAGTTAACACATTTTTCTTCTATTTTCTGTTAGTATATTCTTTTTCAGACTATATGTAATATTGATACTTGATTAAAACTCCATCCTCATATTGCAGATATAGCCATTATTTAATATATTCTCTAGCAACTAAAGTCTAGTAACCATGTCCAATTGATTACCAAGCCATGCTGCTATTTATATTGGCTATCTATATTAGTTAGAGCAGGCTAACTGCTATAACAAATGTGTTTAGAGTTTCAGTGGCCAAACACAAAGTTATCTCTCACTCACATCATAGTCCAATTTTTGTTGGCTTGGAGGTCTGGATAAGGTGAGAGTGATGGTTGCTCCATGCAGTCATGCAGAAGTCTTTGCTCCTTTCTTCTTGTGGCTTTGCTTTCTCTAGTCCTTAGAGTCCTTTCTGTTCAGCCAGCAGATGGGAAAGAGAAAAGGATACCCCTTATAAGAGTGTTTTATGGGCCAGACCTGGAAATGGCATTCATCACTTCTGTCCTCATTCTGTTGGCCAACACTTATTGATGGTTGCACTTAACTGCAAGGTGGGCTAGAATATGTAGTTTAGCTGTATGTCCATGAGAAAAGGAGAAACTGATTTGAGGAATAATTAGACCATCTCTGCTGTATTATCAGTTTGCAGATTATTTTTAGGGTAATTTATTTATATAGATAATTGCTTTTCTCATTCATCCCCCTTCTCAGCTTTTTGAAAGGCTTGTTTCTCTAATACTTATTTTTAATACATTTAATACATTTTTCTGTCTAATTTCAGCATGGCCAAAAGCCAGTAATCTTTGTTGCTATATTAAATGGATATTCAAAGTCTGTATCTTAATCTTTCTATAGCATTTGGCATTCCCTTTTCATAATTCTTTCCTTGACTTCTAGTATAAAACACTCTTTTCTTTCCTTTGATACCTACTCTTCTTAAATCTTGATATCTCCTGGAATATATCTTTGGTCCTTTTCATTCAACCACCCCTTTTTCTTCTCTCACCACCTTTATATATATTAAGGTCCCAAGCTGAATCTCTCATCTTTTCTTTCAATTCATTTCCTCCTATGTCATAGTGAATGGCACCTATTCTTCCCATCTTCTTAAGCAGAAACTTTGAAAAGTTTTCTCACATTTAGTCTGGTTGCTTCTGCCTTCTTAATGTTTCCCAGTTTTGTTCAATTTTCTCTTCCACTGCTACTGCCCAGTAGATTATAGCTTGAGTTTCTACAGAACCTAATGTATTTCTCTACTTCCATTCTGGTGCCCCATTCCATTATGAGGGGCATCACTCCCCTCAGCACAAAATCTGACATCCTTGTAATATTAGATACATAAATAGAATCTCTGGGCTGTTTATCATTTATCTCCCCAGCACTCTGAAAATATCTTAATTATGAGTGCAGTGCAAAAACCAGCATTGTAAGCAGGAGACTGGCATGATCTGATTTGACTTTAAAATGATAACTCCAGCTACCTCTCTATTTCTTTACTCCCCTTTGCAGCAAAACTCCTTGAAAGAGTTGTCTGATACTTCTTTTCTTCAATTTTTTTCCTTCCAATCTTTCGTAAGCCTACTTTTTTGTCTTTTGCCCTCAGATTGTCACCAAAATTGCCCTTGCTCAGGTCACTCATGGTCTCCTCTTGGTTAAATATAGTGGTGAATCTTCAGCCATTATCTTATGTGATCTGTCATATTTGGCACATTTGAGTACTCTGTTGTCCTTAATACACGGTCTTCATTGGACTTCAAGATACCACACTCTTCTAGTTATACTTCTTCCTCATTGTTAGCACCTTCTCAGTCTCCTTTCTGCTTTCTTCTCATCTGGATCTCTTAATATTTGAGTATTTCAGGGTTCTGTCTGTGAATCTCTTCTTTTGTCTATGTATACTCACATGGTAATCTCATGGAGTTAAATACTTTCTGTATGTTGTAACTTCCTAATTTATACCTCCAGCCCGTACTTCTCTCCCTAACTCCAGACTTATAAATCCAGCTGTCTTTTGGGCAACTCTACATGAATGTCTGATAAACATCTCAAACTCACATATCCAAAACTGGAATACTGATCATCTTTCCAAGGTCTAGTCCATCCTCAGCCTTCCCCAGTTCAGTTAATACTAGCTTCATCCCTCTAGTGACTTAGGATAAAATTCTTAGCATTATCTTTCCTAATTTTTTTCATACCCTAAATCTAATACATGAGGAAATCCAGTTGGCCTTACTTCAGGATACATCCAGAATCTGGTCACTTCTCACTGTTTCCTTTGCTCATACTCCAGGTCAAGACACTATTAATTTTCACCTGGATTTCTGCAGTACCCTTTAAACTCATTAGTCCCCGTGATAGTTTGAATTTATTCAGCAAATTCATCTCTCTCAGTCCCTGTTAACTGGGCAATGTATACTTCCCACTCCATTGATTTTAGGCTTGACCATGTAATTTGATTTGGTCTGTGTAATGTTATCAGGTATGAAACAAGCAGAGGCTTAAATGTACTTCTGGGGTTTAGCTTTTCTCTTGTACTTTGGTGATATGTCCTGAAAAGAACTTGCCTCAAGTAAATGCTTGTACCATTAGCCCGGGCACTAGAGAAACTTAAGTGGAGCTGATTTGAACTGAATCCACTGTCTGGATTCAAACTCAGCCAAACTTCAAACTGAAGCAGAATCTTCTAGCTGAACACAGCCTCGATTAGCTGAACCAATGCCAATTGCAACCAATAAGTGTGAGAATAATTGCTTATTGTTATAAGTCACTGAGTTTTGGGGTGATTTGTTATGCATTATTATTGTGACAAATATTCCCCTGCAGTCTGTTTTCAGTGCAGCAGCTAGAGTGATTATTTTAAAATCTAAATCGGTTCATATCACACCATCACACCTCCCCTTAACATCTTGTAGTAGTTTTCCATGTATCTTTGAGTAGAATCCATAGTCTTTACAATGGTATTCAAGGCCCTGCATGATCTGCCCTCTTTGCCCCTTGTTACCTCTCTGACCTCATTTTCTACTATTCTTCCCTCTTCTCACTCCACTCCTGCTACTCTGGCCTCCTTAATAGACCTCAAACATGGCAGTTATGCTTCCTTTGTAACATCATTTTTTTTTTTTTTTTTTGGATCTGGGACATTCTTTTCTCAGAGGTGTGACATAGATAGCTCACTTCCCTAAGATCAAATATCACCTTCTCAATGAGCCCTACTCTTATCATCCCCTTTAAATGGCTCCTGTTTGTATCCTTAGCATTCTGGATTCTCTATACACCCTACTTCATTTTTTTTCATATCATTTATGACTTTATAATATATGATTTACTTTTAAAATGGTTGTTGCTTCTGCCCCTAGAATGTAAGCTCTTGAGGGGCAGGGATCTTTGTTTCTTTTGTTTATTAATGTATCCCAATGGCCTAGAATAGTGCCTGGCTTGTAGTAGTCGCCCAAAAGCATTAATTGAATAAGTGAATGGATGAATGAACTAATTAACAAATAAAAATGAAAAGTTTTATTTTCTAAGATGTTTACATGTTGGAAATATATAAATATGACACTCAGGTTATAATTTTGTGCAGAAATGGCTATTCGTACAAAGTGGCAGTTGCACTCTCTCTTTTTCTTGGATGGTTGGGAGCAGATCGATTTTACCTTGGGTACCCTGCCTTGGGTAAGTATGTTTCATTCAAAATCTTTGTGAAACTTGTGTTATAGCTATTCTTACAGCTTAAATCTCTGCATACTACTATATAGTTACAAGTTCTTTGTATCTGGAGTTGAATAGTTAACATTTCTTCCATGAATATAGAGCTACAGTTAGCTTTACAGTTCAACTTGGATAAGAAATATAGACTTTTCCTGTACTTTCATCTTTATGAAAACACACACTCAAGATAGGGTAGGCACTTACTTAGGGTAGGACAGTGGACCTGATCTGTCATTGCTAGTGCTGGGCACATAGTGGATGTTCAGTAACTATTTTGTGAATAAATATATATCTCTCTTCTTCCAAAAAATATTTTCTTATACCTGAACAACTATCAGTGTTGCGTTGGGAATAGAAACTACTACTTTGAGAAGTCGGAGTAAGAACTGTAACAGCCAGCATAAGCTGGTGTGGGGCCTGACTTTTATTATACTTGGCATCTCTTCCATACCTTCCTCTTAGCTGTAATCTTCACATTTTCCATAGTTACTAAAGCTTATGAAACTATTTAGATTTGACAATAGCTTTTGTTTGAACAATACTTTCACGTTTGCCCTTATTTAATCCTTACAACTCTCTGAGTTTATCATCCTCTTTAAATCTTTTTTTAACAGGTAGAGAAATTGTCACCAAAGAGGTTAAGGGATTTACTGACTCTCAAGGCCTTGCTTTATTCTGTGACATACTTGTTATCATCCCTGTTTTATGGATAGTGAAATTGTCGTGAGATCAGGAGATTTACCCAAGGACATTCAGTCGATGACCTGAATTTGAACCCAGATTTTCTGGTTCAAGAGATCATGCTTTATTTACTGTAGTACACCGCTTCTATATTAGCCTTTCACTGAGCAAATTTAAAGTTTCTGAATGCTCTGTTTTTCAGCTAGCAAAGCTGATCTTATTCTTTCCATGTTGCTACCCACCAAAGATCAAAGAAGATCTTCACTATGGGATTGGTGGGAAGTATGTTTCTGACAGCATTACCTGGAACTTAGTGTTATAAAGTCATAAATAGAAGTCAGAGTTTAAAATGCTATATACGTGTATTTATTCAGTTAAGAAACATGTATTCAATGTTTATTACCTATTAAGTAAGTAACTAAGTGCTCTGGCAATAATGATGAAGATCACAATTCAGACTGGTTAAAAAGAAAGTAAATATAAAATATGTCAGACTAATTTATGATATTCATTATTACAGAATCATAACAAAGTGCTGAGAGCACAGAAAGGGGACTGATTTTGTCGGCCTTGGGGTGTGAGGGAGGACTTCTTATATGAGGTGACATTTTAACTAGGATTTGAAGGATGAACAGATTGCAGATATTTAGGGAATTACAGGGAACAGCTCATGCAAAGGCACAGAGTATGAAAGAGCATGTATGCATGTTGAGAGAATGGCAGATATGTTAGTCTATGGTGTAGGAAGAACCATGGCATGGCAAGAGATGAAAAGTGACTGCAGAGGTAGCCTGTGGTCAGATTATAAAAGGCTTTAAATTTTTAAGGAGAGGACTGTTGTCAAATTCATATTTCAGGAAGATAATACTGGAGGAATTGTGGGAAATGGCTTAGAACAGAGAAAGACTGGTGGCAGAGTAAGCTGAAAGGAGATTGATTCAGTAGTCCTGGCCTGAGTGATTGTGTAACTACACTTTTCATGTCATTTGTAATAGCAACCATACCTTTCCATAACACAATGGAGAACCATATAATATGCGCAGAAGGCCTCTGAGTTGCCAAAATAAAACTCATTTAGTCTAATACTCTCTATTAGATGATGGTTGGATAGAAGGACGGATGGTCAGACGGAGAAACTAGGTTAATAATGAGAAAGTGAAATGAAATAGTGATGGTTAGAATACATCCGAAGCCTTCTGCCCTAGTCTTTGCATTTTCTCATGTGTTCTTTAACAGGACAAGATCATATATGTTTTTTAGAAAGATTTCTAACTTAGAAAGGTTTAAAGGAGAAACACTATTCTTTAGAATAGTTTATTCTGTGATGATTTTGAATAGTAAATATATTTTAAATATATTTGGCTTAATGAATGACTTCTTAGCTTCTTGTGATGTTTGTCAGATGAGTTGTCATGACCTATAGTGTAAGTTAATGTTTTCGACTTATAGCAGTACATAATAATGTGTTGGTATATATGTTGTGAATTTTTTTTTCCTGCAAAATAAAACTATAAAACGGTAATAAAGCTCTGTATAAAACACTCTGTAGCAGCTATGGGTAGTGAATGTTAGTTTTTTGCCAGGAGTTGCCCTCTCTGGCCACTGTTACTCTACAATCCATTATTAGCTTCAGTCAAAGAGAACCTTGCAGTTTGTGTCTGAGACTCTATAAACTTGTAAATGTTATTTCTAACTTTATGTGTCAGTGTAGTTTCTTTTTAAATTTTTTAAATAACATCACAACAACCTTTAGACGTTCGTTAATTTAAAATCGACTGTTGACTTAGAATACAACTTTCTCAAGGTTGCTGTCTGTTACTTCTCATCTATTTTACAGTTTCTGGATTTTTGTCGCTATTGTCTTACTTTCCATTCTCTTTATTCCATTGGATTTGTGACTTTAAACATCCATTTACCATCTTTCAGTGGAGTTTTAGAGTGAGAGGAGTTAAATGGACATGACAAATTCATTATCTTTACCTGAAATTTCTCTTTAAGCATTCAGATATTTTTATCTGTTTCTTATGTACATTTAAGCTATCTTAATATTAAGGATTTTGACATGTTTTATTAACTAATCTAATATGTAAAATTACAACGTTTGTAAATTTTAAAAATTTAAGTGTTTTTCATTAAATTTTAATTTTTACTAAGAATCCAAGGTTAAGGAATTTGGGCATTTTTAATTAAAATGATTACTGCCATTAAGAAAATTATTAACCGGATAATATAATATTGACTCATGAAAATGGTAGCAGAGCCTGAAATTCTGTTTTTCTTATGATCTTAAATGTTCATGATTTTGAAAAACAGTGGTTTTATTTATATATAGCTTTTAAAATTCTTAATACTGTTTATTCATATTGGAATTTAATAAGAACAGAATAAATAGTGTAAATCATGCAGGTACGAAACTTGTTTTTTTAGAAGTAATATAGTGTTAAATGTGATATTTCATTATATATGTTTTACTTCAGGATTAAACAAGGGAAATTTGTTGAGGAGTGAGATTGAATAAAATTTGGTAAAATCTGAAAATCGTTTAAGAAAAAATTTTTTTTTAGCCCATGGCTATATCTTTATGTTAAAGAACAAAAATTCAGCTGAGTAAATCTGAAGATCTCATTTTTTTTTTTTTTAACAATGTATAGCTTTACTTCCTTTAATTGATTTATTCTTCAATCTACCAGTGCTGCTTTTAGCTGGAAGCCTTTTTTTCACCACAAAGCCTTATTTTTCTAATAATATTTTTTTGTGTTTTTAACTGTGTTAACATTCTTTTTTTATATGCAATAACTAGAATATTTTGTTTTGCCCATCTGTAGCTTTAGAAGATTATGGATTCTCAACGATAATAGCTCTTTTGTAGCAGTTAATAGGAGAGATGCTCTTTTTATAGTGATGTTTTTTTAAAATGTAATTTTCTTACTATGAGAGTAACAAAGTGTTGTCTGTTTTGAAGCCCACCTCTTAAAAATCTTTGGTTATATTATTCCTTTTTTTCCTTTTAAATTTGAAGTTACCAATTTGAACTGGTATATAATATCCACATATCATAGGACAAATAAAGGGATTTGAAGGTAAAACTTTCTAAGATTTGAAAGCTCTCCTTCATAGATACACACAAAGAAATAGTAATAACTAATAATGAAATCATTATAGAACACCTGCGATTTGACAGACAGCAATTTTAATATAAGTAATCTATATAAGTAATCTGTATAGAAGTAATCTATATTCTCTGTAATAGTTAGGCAGATAGAAGAGTATTTGCGAGACTCAACCTATAATAAAACAAAAAATACCAAAATTTTTTTTAAATATCCAAAGTTAATCTGTTCTTTTTATTTTATATCCAAATAAATCTTTTTTTGAATTTATGTTTTTAAAATGTAAAGTTTAAGTTACTAAGGTATAAAGTACATTCAAAGCATGA